GGAATAATATAATGGATTATTTCTCTCAGAATATCAAAGTATTAGTTGAAATATTATCAACAAAATATATCAGTTTCAAATATTCTCTTATCCGTTTCGATTCGTTTACATCTCACCGATACTCACTACATGAGTTTAGATACTAATACGAGTAGCTAGTCATGTTCTCATAGAGATATTCCAACGATATAGCCGTTGCAAAAATACGACTGAATGGATAGGATACCTGGAGAATGGACCATCAGGGCTACCAAGTCACGAAAATATATGAGGTCAACCTCCAAAATGAAGATCTTATCAGATCGCAATCTTATCATCCAAAGTCGAGATATTTTTTATACTTCGTTCCTATGCCAGTATGGGGATTTGAAGGCCCATCAATTGAATGAATGCCGGCTGATTGACCGTCGGGAAACCGTCGGCCAGAGTGTCCTTTTCTTGATGGCCCCGTACCAACGCTAGTCATTTTGCCGCAACATCTAGTTATGGGAGCAATGTATTGGGCCTTCAGTTTACTGCAAATGAATGTTTGCTGGGACAGAGTATTGTTTTTTTTTCAATTTTTTCAATATTCTTTTTGGCGACTTTTTATAACGCCGACGAATGAAAATAAAATATCACAGTAGTAGCAACTGTTATCAAGTGAAGTATGGTTTCCATAGCCAACTTTTCAATTTTTGGCTTTCATTTTGCTTCCACGGCCTACTCGGTGAATTTCAATAATAATTTTTTTCTGATCTAGTTTCTGGTTAGATACCAACTTGTGATATGTCATCAGAAAGAGAATTGAATGCTGAATATAGTGAAAAGAAAAAAAAATACGGTTTCCATTTAAAATAAGAAAGTTGATGTTACTTCCGGTCACACCGGAAGTTAACTTCGACATGTCAATATGCTCAAATTCTAGCTCTTATGTCATTATATCGACGCTCCAAATATCACAAACCTACTACATACAATAACTGAGATATTCCGTAGGCAATACTTCCGTAGCCACCCGGTATATGCAATTCTTATTTTATTATAGGTATATAGAAGGAATCTATAATCAGAATCTATAACTTCCCAAGGGAGTTATCACCCTTCTAAATGATTGCGTGAATATGACGATGTAAGCTTATATAATTCCGGCCAGCCATAAAATTGAAAATGTAATACTAGTTGCATTTTTTCATTTAGATTCTCGACTGGCGAATAGTATTCGACAAAATCGAACTTTTGCCATAATACAGGCAGTGCAAAATTGGCGTTGACGCGCTCCATAGCATTGTGTGTATAGTTTATGCAAAGTCAGTTGGAAAAACACATCACCGCAAGCCGTCGGTCCCTTTGAAAGTTTAAAGATTGCGCGGCAGCGCGGCCCGACATTGGTTTGATGATCTGTTCAACTGACTGTTCATCAACTTTACAGACCACTTAACACATGCATAACCTTCAGATGACGTCACCGTATTCCCTTCTAGTGTCTCACATTGCAGTATAGAGATTGAGCCATCCTTATGCAAATGCAGTTGAATATCCTGGCCTATACCCCTGATATTCATTTAAATTTCAACAAGTCATTAATTATACCTACAGTAAGTAGAACCGCCTTCCAATTAGATATACGTATAGATAGCAAAAGCACCTATACGTTCCTACGTATGGTCATCGTGATTTATGGAGAGTTTAGAACGCGAGATATCGAATGACTAATTGAATTCTCGGCACCACATAAGGCCAACATTTCTCTTTTACTTACTAGATATTCTTATTCAGGAAAAGGGAGTTCGGTAATCCACTAGCCATCAAGGCAGATTCTTGCCGGATTGTGAAATGCACTTGATTGTTTTGAATGTGATGTAGGATCTGTTTTGTTGAGAATAATCCAAGTATTAATTCGCGATAGAAAATAACACGTCACTCCATCTGATAGCAATAACTTGAACTTGAACACTTCCAGAGCGGTTTGTGTCGATGGATATGAGCAATAAAAATAACTAAAAGCAGGTGAAACTATAATATGTGAATTACTTCGCCTTTTAGGCACTGTGCACTTATTACTTTCATTACAGTATATAGGATACAATTAGTTAATTATTGTATATTGATCAAATGAAAGACATTTGAACTGACTAGAGACAACTGTGTGCGTGATCTGCAACGGCGTTTTCGAAATAAAAATAAAAAAAATAATACTCAATACCCCTATACAAACTGGAAAAGGTAGATTCCATGTATTTAAGTAATGAAAGCAGAATCATAAATCAATGTAATTTCGACAAACTTGAATTTACTCTTAGTGTTTCCATAATTTGGTGTTGATTTCATATCCAACTATTGCCTTCTGTACCGTGGTTTATAAAATAGTATATTAGTTTTTCCACTACTATAGTACAGATTTCCTAGTTGATTTATTTCATCTAAAATCTTCACCTTCTTGTGAATAGTTCGTGTTGTCATTGAAATTGGATGACAGCTGACAGTTGAGTGACATTTCACATGACAATAAAATTCAGAGCAACTTGAAAATTGTTCCATTGTTTTTATTTTCACCTAGTGAGAGAGTTGATTGTATTATTGACTAGTAGTGAAGGAAATCAATTCCTCAGGTTGAAGATATAGCACACAAAATGGTGTGTTAGAGATGGTATTGGAAGAAATGATGTTCGTATACTTTTCGCCGCCACTGAACACGAACAATATAATTGTCATTTACTGTAATCTTGAGGAAAATGCTTTTTGTTTGAAAATCGTAGGTAGTGAAAGACGAATAAGAGACAGCGGCAACTGAATTGCTCAAAAAACATTTGATCTGAAATAATTTCGAAACAAAAATTCAACGTTTTTCGAGCGAATTATTTTTTGATAAAAAGTATTTCGATCATTCTTTCAACCCCCGAATCTGTCCTATTGGAAAACTTTACAAACAACATAACACTAACAATGTTATACGCAATCATATACAGTGTGTCCATTTAGTGCGTAATTCTTCGATATCTCGAAATCCATTATCACTAGAGAAAAACTTTTGGAAACAAATTTCTTCCGTTATTAAAGGTTCCATTTCAGAAATATTTTCGACAATACTGGGTGTTTTATAAAAGCGGGAGGACTCGGAGACGAGTTTTTTCAAATAGAACACCCAGTATTTTTTATTCAAAATTCAATCCGCTAAGGTTCAGCTCTACATCGCTGTGAAAAAAAAAATGGATTTGGTTGCGGCGTTGCCAAGTTATAATTGATAAACCCATTTTTACTACTATTGAAGGGTCATGTTAAATTGGGTATGGTATATTCATTTATTAAAATTCTGATTTTTGGCATACAGTAGTAGCAAGGTCTCACGTACACCAAACCAGTAATTTTGCGAGATTATCCTTTACAGGGTGCTAAAATTTACACTCTGAATATTGTAAGATTCAGACGACGTTCATTAGAATTTTTCAAATGGAACATCCTGTATTTTTCATCACAGATTTATTTCGACATCATTCGCCTTTTCATCGCTAAAAAAAAAAATTGAAATCGGTTGCGAGGATTTCAAGCTATGAGTAATTTCCTTATGTTTATCACTATCTCAGGGCAACCTATAAGGCATGGTTCCTTTTATTTGAATTGATTATGGGAATATTCGAGGTTCTACATAGATCCTTCAGATATCTTCGCGATATAAGCATTGTCAAAATTTGAAATATTCCGTAATCTTGTTACTTATGATTTGAATAATATGTACCTATGTGAAACAAACATGCCAAAAGCAAAACGCCTGCCTTTAAAACAACTTCTACAATACAAACAATGGAGATTTGAATTGCGAAAATAAGGACCTTTTCTTGAAATTTGGACCACTTTCATTGTCGTTATTCCCACAATCCAAATCTCCATCAAACTTGAAGGAGGCGAACTCTACATAATGATACAAACAATATTTCTTCACTACGCGGGTTTCGGGAGGGAATTCAGCAAAATTTTAAATGAATTCAAGATATATTTGATTGTGGCGATGTTTGACAGGTCATTACACGAATAATGGAAGTGTACTTCGAAAAATTAATTCGTTGTCTGTCAAAAATCTGTGGAAGTAGCATTTTGGATCAATTTGTCAAATCCACTCTGTTTTAAATTCAAACTTGGAGAGCGTGCAAATGTTCCTATTGTAAAAAATATATGAATGGTCAATGAAGAAATTTGATTATTTTAATGAAAGAACTATGACGTGAGAATTATACTCCGAAATAGTAGTAAAAATAAGGAAATTATCCATAACTTGACAACGCCGCAGCCGATTATGATTCTTTATCAGCGATAAAAAGGTGAAAGATGTCGGGATAAATTTGTGGAAAAAAATACAGGGTGTTCCATTTGAAAAATTCTAATGAATGCCATCTGAATCTTGTGAAATTCTAAATGCAAAATAGAGCACCCTCAACAATCAAAGCTCCATATAAAGGAACCTTCAAAAAGGCTCACGAGAGAGATCCTGTCACTTAATAGAAGGGATCTCAAGACGGTAGTTGGGCTCTTATAACTGGGCACAACCACCTCAACAGGCACCTAGAACTCATAGGGATCAAAGATGATCCCATCTGCAGATGGTGCTTGGAGGATGATGAAACATCATCACACATACTCACTAAATGCCCCGCGCTGGTGCATCAGAGGAAAGCTGCCTTTGGGAGCATTGTACTGCACCCAAAGGATGTGAAAGTGACTCAGCTGAGGAAGCTGCTGAATTTCGTCAAAGAAATCGGCATGCCCAGCTGATTCACAGGACAAGTTGACGCACAATGGGCCCGACTGAAGAGGCCTGAGTGCAGGGGTCTATACGCACCCGCCCACCTGTGCAGAGAAGAAGAAGAAGAAGAAGAAGAGCACCCTGTTAAAGAACATGTCGCAAAATTACTGAATTTGTATACGTGAGACCTTGCTACTACCGTATGCCAAAAATATTTTCATAATTTGAATAAATGAATATATCATGCCCAATTCAACATGACTCTACAATAGTGGTAAAAATAGATTTATCAATTATAACTTGGCAACGCCGTAACCGATTTCAATCTTTTTTTACAGCGATGTGAAGGTAAACCTCAGCGGAATAAATTCCGAATAAACAATAATGGGTGTTCCATTTGAAAAAACTCGTCTCCGAGTCATCCCGCTTTTATAAAACACCCAGTAATGTTGAAAATATTTTTGAAATAAGCAACTTGAGTAACTGAAGAAGTTTTTCCTTCAATTACGCACTAAATGGACACACTGTATAATGACTCTCTTCATGAAAACCGAATTGAATACCTCAATACATATATAGGTATTTATCTTGGAACAGATTCGACCAGAATCCGTTTGTGTTTGTGTTATCTATTTTGTTTCTTTTTTGTCAGATACTGCAGCACTTTCTTCTTCAAATGTTCTGGTGGCCCCAAAGAATATGGGGGATCTGGTTTAGTTTTCACATAGTATAATCCTCTAGCTCTAAAAATAAAAGAAAGTAATAATCAATAAGGGTGCTATGTTTGTTACTATTATATAAAAAGAACCATCACTTGGGAAATACTAAAAGAGGCACAGTTTTTCCTTATATGAACCATATATTTCGATTCATACAACAAATTAGATAGCAGGAGCGAGACAGTGCTGTTTCAGCCCACCAGGTCTCATCAGCCGCTCTCGGTCTGCTGACACCTGCTACAACTCAACGATTTGGGTTTATCATAAAATGCATCGCCAACTATAGTGGCTTTAGTTCTGAGGTAGGACCTTGCGGTTACGCAAACACTTTAAGAAGATCCACCAATCCTATTCTGTCCCCACTTGGTAGCTTCTCTGCTATTCGCCTGTCTACAGAACCCCGTCAAATATCGCATTGGAAGTCCTATATGAGCCGGTAATTTTTTTTTGTATATCTTCATGGAATCTGATTTTTTTACAATTTTTGTGTGATGATAGACATTTTTTGATCTCACGATAATTTCTCTACACCTGAAGGAGAGTATAGACTTTTTAGATTCATTATGTAAGTCTACTTCATTCCCTCATCAATAATAGTGCTGGACATCTACAGTTGCAATACAATATAAATCATAATCAAACATATATTCAATCAACCAATATAAAAGTTTATCTATTTGTAGCATATGATGTAATAATTTTTGTTTCAATATGGCGACTTTGTTTTGTGAGCATGTAATAATGGATATTAACACACCCAATACATTTTTAATGGGATTTGAACTGAACCAAAATTATTTCAAATATTTTAAATTATTCACCTGAAATATGGAACTATGGAGTAAGTATTTATTTTTAGATCATTTACTCACTTGTGGCTGATGTGTTCACCCATAAGAACATATTCATCATCCTGTGGACTACACCAGCCCACCATGAAGCTGAACAAACTGGGACAAGGGTATGCCCAAAATCCAGTTTTTGTAACTATAGATTCTATAAAATATGGCGTCACTTTCGTATGGTCACAGGCTAATGTATCTAAAAAGAAGTGGGTATTTTTTTGGAACTTGATAATATGACTAATCAGTATCAATCTTTCAAATATTTTGTGTGTTGTTCAATCCTTGTCGTTCTGAATAGAAACCTATAAAGTAGGCGGGAAGTATAATTGTCACTCATTTAAAAAAACAATTGCGAAAATCTCGCTTATTGCCCTCATTTTCAGTAAGCTAGTGACCTCTATTCCATACTAAGTTATACATTTGATATCCTTATTTTTCTAGTTTATGATGAAAATTTTCTTATGTTCAAACATTCATGCAATAATGGAATTCTCGTTTTTTTTATGTTATATGAATTTGAGTAGAAACTGGATAGGTACTCCTCATCAGTTCTGTGATTACATTACTCTTCACACTTTATTGAAATGATGGCATGCAAGCTAATATCAAAAAGGTAAGAACTGCTCATTTACTTCAATAATGATTTACATCATCTTTATTGGTGGAATACCAATTCATAATTATAAAATGAATAATATTTATGCACAACGACCGGGCGTAAACTGCCCGGCGTATAGGTAATACTCATAATAGGCATTCCTGTACAATTCAGGACATTTATGTTTCATTTGGGATGGTTCCTCATGTAATATTGCAGTTCTCTCAATTTTTCTGATATGCAAAATGATAAGATCGAACCCGAAATAGTGATCAAAGAAACAAGTGGACCACTGATATATTTGTCAATTTAGAAACTGCCATATCTTTTTAGAAAATGAATGGATTTTCAATCGGAATGCAGTGCTTGGAAGATGCGATCTTTTTATTCAAGATTCCTACTTCAAAAGTCGCCGGGAGCTTTTCTGTCATTATACACCAAGTGTTCGAAAAAAGTACTACAAAAATGGAAAAATTCAAACGCTTTCATATTCCAGGGATTTTCTTTAATTATTCTATGCACTGTTTTTCCTAAACGAACGTTCAAGCCAATATCTCGAAACAGTTGTAATTTTCTATATTTCCCATACAGGATGTTCAAAATCGATAATTTTTCATTTTTTGGTTTTTATCACATCATTTCCGATATTGAAGGCCACATTCAAAGCATTTTGCCACTCTTTACGAAGGAACACATCCTAGAAAATGGATTCCTGTTGCGTAGAAATCATTGACAACTCTAACAGTAGAAAATTAATTTTGTTTGGAGTCATGTTCAGAGTTTGGTGAAATCGTCTGTTCAGTTTGGTGATGCCATAACCATAAGCTATGCTAAACACAAATCCTACATTTGGATCGATTGATTTGCTCGATATCTCGAATTGATTTCGTGATTTTTCAGATACAGCAATCCAAGGGGGCGCAAGGGGGCATTTCTGGATTTTTCTGGAGGCATTATATTTGGTGTTGCAGTGGTATAAATTGCGTAAATGAGTGTCGATTTCAAGAAATCGACTTTTTCGATCGATTTTCGATTACGCGATGGAAAACCTTGTGATAAATAGGTTTGTTGACTCCATGACAGCTCAGGAATATCTTAAAACCATTATGGAATTATTATTGAATTGGCCATTAACAGACAGACAAATGCTGGGTCAATGAACAGACAATATTTTACCTCTCGCCTACTAGCTAGGATTTCATTAAGCACGAAAATCGTCCATTAGAGCTAAGGTAGCTAACCACTTCAAACAGAGCATCACATCTCCATGGTACTCATTGAAATATAAGCAAAAAAGTCCTGCTTGCCAGCATGCTTTCATATTACAGACACTCACTGAATATAGTATCGCTGCTACACCCTGGCTGACTAGAACCGCCATTTATGTAGAAGTCTGCGTGACCGGTCGGGCCCCATTGTCCTAGGATGCCAGCTCCAGTATGTAGGACATCCACGAAATGAGCATCGGAAGTGTCAAGATCTCGCGAAGTGTTTTGTCCTTGATAGAAAAATATCGTTGGGTCCAAGCCTGCAACAAATAATGAGGAAATGTCCTTCACACAAGTATTCTTCAATCTCTATCTTCAATCTATTCATAACTACTTATAGTCCAGTACGTCGGTATCGAATAGGGGTGTTGGAATGCACAAGGTGGGGTAGTAGCGATTTTTTAGTATGTTGTTAGGCTTGGGGCCCTAATGATAAATCCAAAGTTTTCGACGTCGAGGAGCTCGTACCGCCATCTTGGATTTTATGTACAAGCATTTGTTTCTATGATAATAGCTCAAGAACTGTGGCATTCACGATGGAAGTTGGTCAACACAAAGTTGAAGAAGACAAAATTTACTACATCTATGTAAAGAATGTTTGTAGGACACATATGTTATAGGAGTTATAGCTCCGTGAAGTTGTACTATTTGAAAAAAATATTGAATTTTGTTATTTGGCTGTTAATAACTAAAATAAATAATTTAAGCAAATGCAAATTATATTGAGGTAATTTCCAAAGAGACTCTACTTTGATTTTATATTAATAGGTTGCCCTAAACCTTAACGAAGATAGGCAGTTAGCGAGAGCACAGCTGCTATCTAGTAGTTATTGGGTCATAAATGAATCGCTTAGGAGAAGGGATAATAAATACCATTCTGGGTAGCATAGCTATTTTGTTCTTTGGAAATGTCCACATGAATCTAGCCAAAGAAGATTTTTAAATGTACTATGTATATATAGTGGGAGAAGGGAATTATATTACATGAAATCTATGTTTGAAATGAATCCCACATAACGATGACGAAATGCCTTTCAGTCAGCTGTTTATCCAATTTCATTAGTTACAGTCTCTTGCTAGTGGCATCAAATTTTTGTAATCTATTGATTCTCCTTTGTGATTTCCATCAATGAATATGTGAAAAACGGAAATGATATGGAAATATGTATTTTTATATGTTCTAGTTTCCACGAAAAGGGATATCTTGTAATGTTCAGAGATCATCGTGGGAACCAAGGGAATGAGGTAGGAATTCGTGTTCTTCCTAAATTTCTGGAGTTTACATGCCTCGGGAAACACCTCCCATGGCAATGTGTTCCTGAGCCTCGCTGTTCGTTGGATGAACGAGTCTTTGGAAAGAAATGTTCTGCAGGTCTCCTATAAGTGACCTTGAAGAGGTGCGAAGCCTCAACTCGACGGGTTAATCAATTATTGATATTTCAGAAGAACATCGTCCATGAATATATCTATAGAATGGGGGCAGATCGCCAAGTTTTTTGCGGTGTTCCAGAGAAGTGAGTGAGTTTGTGAGCGAGGCATCACCCACGAGACGAATTGCCCTTTTCTGGACGAACCCCAGTTTCAGGATATGTTCGAGTGGTGCACTCCAAATATGGGAACAGTATTCCAGGACAGGTCGGATCTGTGCCTTATAGATCATAAGCAACAGAAAACCAAGTTTTTGGGATGTACTTATAGCAATTGATCCTACGTGCTTTTCCCAAGAAAGGTTATTGCTGATAGTAATACCAAGCATCGAAGGTATGGTTACTCCTGACAAGCTTTATGTTGGGTATAGTGGAATGAGGAAATTTCCATCCTCAATATCTCTGAAATTGAGGAAAACTAGACTTTCAATGGATCCATTACACCATATATTCCTAAACTTTCCTGTGAATGGACTTCACGTAGAATGAACCGGCTCCAAACCAGAACTACGATCAGAACACAGACAACTACGACCAGGACAAAAAAGCAAATTTTTGTAGCTAAAATCCAAGATGGTGGCTCGAGCGCATGCGTCTCGAGGTCGAAAACTTTGATTTTTCATAAGGGCCCCAAACCTAACAACTCACTGAAAAATCGCTACTACCCCACCTTTTGCATTCAAAAAATCCCCACGCACTGGACTATTCTAGAATGACAATTAATTCGAAACATCAACATTTTCGGATTAATTTGAATAATAAATTCTTGGGACGGCAAACTATGACGTGAATGCTGAATATGGAATGAATATAGGTATTTTATGATAAGCTTTTGATCCAGATCAGGAAAGCCAGAAGAAGGAGAAAGCATAACCGGCATATCCTTAATAGCTATTTATATATTAAGGGAGCAAAGGTATCCATTTCCTCCCGCCTTATCAATTGATAAGGCGGGAGGAAAGATTCTGATATTTTGCAGACTTCAATAATTGTCTCATAGGGCGCATACCAGGAAAATAATTCCGAATATACAGGGTGTCCCAAAGAAGTGTGACGTCATAATGATATATTTTTCTAAATGGTATACCATATATTTCGTTGCACATTTGAGTGCTTCCAGTGGTTACCTACATACTCCTGGAATTTAACAGGAATGGGTTCAGTGATATTCACGTAAGAAAAATATAACAAAAAAAAAAATTGCACCACTGGTCACTCATAATTCATTTATGGATAGAAATGAGAGAAAATCCCAAAAAAAAATCTAGAGGAACAAAGAATAATGTTTTTACGACGATACCATGAAACTGTCTTTCAATATCATTTCCGTACCTGATAAAAAAATTACTTCATTGTGTTGCAGTGGCAATAATATATTTTGTATATATGTATCATCGATACCTTCATAAAGATTCAATATGAAATAAATTTACACTGCGACCCAAAATGACACCCATATGTAGGTACACAGTGAAAAATTTTCGGGTGTAATTTCAATCGAGTGGCTTTTAGAAATAACTCCGATTGAAACAACATTTGATTAGCAATATTATATCGATATTATTAGAAATTTGATAATATCGTGTCCAGTGGTGTCAATTCACACCTTCATAGTGAAAAGTTTCCACGGATGTGGTAATTTAGAGGGGTTCTGAAATATCCATTCAAAAGAAACACCAAAAAGATGAAAGTCATTACTTTCTATAGTAGTATTATTCAAGTTAACGCAAAAAATACACTTATTTTATGAAATTAACACTTAGTTACACTCTGGACCAATCATGAATAAATCAAAACCGTGTATGAATCATGATATTTGGGGGCTAATATAATTTACTCATCGTCCTGCATTCTCCCATGTGAATAAATAATATTGCTGATGTTGAAATTACCCCTGGAATACCTAAACTCATCAGAGAATTGATAAAAATAGTGGAGGTTTATCATATAGGTGACAATAAGAAGGGATGATTTCATGAAAATAATGCAATTAATTAATTTTAAATTGATTCATCAATTATATATAATTTCGAGATTGCGAAGCTATAGAGTACTTATATCGAACCAGATTGAAACATAAAATTGAATATCAAAGTATAAATTTTGTGCACAGAAAAATATTGACTAAATATCTTAATACACTAGCGCTCCTTCGACGCTCATCTCTCGACAGCTTCCATATAGTATCAGCTCAGAGATGGTTTGTAATATTGTATGGTCGCACTACAGTGGAACATTTCATAAACTGAATACTAATTTTAGTAATGTTAGTTTATCAGAGTCCCATCCCCATCAGAGTCGTGATATTCAATATTCAACACCCAGATGCAGACAAGGAAGCACCGTTTCTCAGCGTGAAAACAGTCAATTAGTGTGTTTTCACATCAGAAAGTGAAGTGTCAAAATAATCACGGAATGATTGTATTGTACACCACTTTTGTGTTGAATAACACGAACCGATTAAATTAGCACTAGGTACTCTGTAGTTCTCGACTGTATGTAAGAACGAATGACGCCCTATGATGGTGTTGAAAATATCAGTGTTGAATCTCACTAAAACTATCAGGACCTCAGGGGACACCCAAGGGTGCGAACTGCTTTTATTTTCACTGTGTATTCCTTCAAATTGCTAAAATATGGGGTGTCTTCATCTTGAATGCGATACAATGTATTTAGTCATATTTAGTGGACCACTAGTGATACAGCTGCTTCCTGATATCGTTAACTAGGTACTATAAGTAATGTAATGGTGACAAGATGATTTCGAATAACCAAAACGCCACGACAATTTCCGGATATAGGTTTACTTAATATGAGATAATTATTATGTAAAACTGTTTCATGTTTTCACTCGGACTTTCCTATTCCCGAGATTTCGATAAGTGCATCATATCATCGTGGGCGTCATTTTGCCATCGAAAATAATTATCGCGAGTGAAAGTGTCTTAAGTCAGTAAGTCATGTACCAGTGCACATGATATGCGATATATATAATTTGCACAACGCTATAAATTGATATAATAACCCTGTTAATGTAATGTACTTCTTTTTATTTCTTTTTTTAACGTTCGTGGACCTTTAATCGCGTGGCGTCGCACTGAGGAGGGACAAATACTGGTGGATCCTTCTCTTGAAGAATTACAAAGTGACAATGTCCTACGAAAAAAGGTGCTCCTATAACAGGACATTCTATTCAGTTTCCAAGTGTAACTGCGAATGGGTGTGGAACTACGAACAGAATCGGATCATAGTTATTACACAAGTTGTCCGCGATATATTGGATCCGCCATCTTGAATTATCCAATTCTTCGACCCCAAAACCCCCAGATACCGATTTTGAATAGAATCAGATTATAATTGCAAAAGTCATCCGCCATATTGGATCCACCATCTTGAATTTCTTAATTTTTTTCTCTCAGGAGAACCTTCTCCTGGCAGTTGAGATTGTAGCGTGTAGTGAGATAGATAGTGAGATAGGTTTTATTTGACATCGTTCATCATATTGGTCATAACGAGAGGCGAGTATACACCAGAGATATCGTTATTGTTAATTGATGGGGTAAGTTTGGCAGTCGACTGTATAATAACCGTCTATGATAGAATCAAAATTTGGGGTGAATGACCATCACTAGTCGCATTCACGCCACAAACCTATTTTATATTGATTATTCTAGGTATTGATAGTATTTGATACAATTAGTCTTTCATTCAAATCATTTATTCAACAGTATATACAGGGTGTTTCATAATTGAATGCTGATCCTAAAGGGTGATAATCCTTGGATAATTTTTAGAAAAATTCTTCATGTGAACATAGGTCCGTAACAGCTTCG